TAAAAAATTAATTTTAGGGAAAGGCTGGCGCAAAACTCAATGTACTTTAGGAGTCTGAAATTATAATGTCACTCATTAACTTTAAGCAGTAATTGGCTAAACTGCGTCTTTGGGGCACGGCCCGAGCCCAGCGGAGACGTGCGCAGAGGACGTGCAGGAAAAGAAGGTGGCCTCTACGGACCAGCCGCTACGGGGGTTTTGTTCTTGTTCTTGTTGTTTAAAATAATAAAAGTGACAACGGCAAATGTTTCTTACGGTTTATTGGAAAACTAATGCATTATTATGGAATCACTGACTTGTAATGCAATTCAACGTTTCAAATACCTTGTTGCTCATAGCTATCAGATGTTTGACAGCGTCAAAGAATTTCTGTGTGACTCCGTGAGGCGTCATCTGTCATAACGACCAGACTATGCAGGGAAAGGCACTTAAAGTATAACGTAAATAATACTTCATTTCTCTATCACTTATATGATGTATCATGTAAAAGCGTAAACGCACCGTTTGTTGCATAAAGCGCTGTATTTTAATGTCAATCAAATGTGTAGTTGGGAGTATTGTCAGCATATTTCTTATTAACTGTGCCTTCTATCCCAAAACATAAAGTTAATTTCAGCAACGATGACCATATCCAATCCATCAGTCATGATATGAATCATTGTACATGTATTTATTATGTGATCAGAGAGCTCAGCTGATTTAATCTATTCAATTGATTCTTAAAATTTCAGAACATTCTTTTTGTTATTGCCTTATTTCATAGGGTCCAGAGTTGTATTTAAATGTCTTGTGTGGTTCATCCTACAGTTCAATACCCAAATAAATTGATTGGACAATAATAATGATGAACAAAATAATCATTAGTTTATGTTACTCAATACCCTGCCTAACCTTTTAACCTGTGAGGCTGTAAGGGGAATGCAGGAAGCCCAAGAAAGGCCCCACCCAATAAAGAACCTTTAGTAAGATATCAAGCCCCAACATGCTGCCGTTGATCAAATGAAATAAGAATTCTGACCTCATTTAGCATTTGAATGCAACACACCATTACTTTTCTCAACAAAATCTCCGCAAATGTAAAACGTTGGAAAAAGGGACCAGAGCTACAGTGGATATTCTCACTACGTTTAATAACAATTTTCTCTCTCGTTATTATTGAAACACATCGACTCACCTGTACTTGACGTGGCTCGAGGCAACATATTTCTGTGACATGCCCAAACTAACCAAGGAATGCGTGATATTGCATTTGTTATTTCCTTACTCATTGTGGATCAAGTGAGTCACACAGGGGTGTGCCAATGTGAAGGCATTAGAAAAAAAGGCTTAAATGTAGAGTAGACAGTTCTCCACTTTATGGAATATTTCAGCTTTTTTCATTAGCAAAAGCATTCATATCTTCATCTCCATTCAATGTCAACTTACTCCCTTTATCTGCATCGGCCGAGACAGCTGCTGATAATGGAATTCTAGACATAGAAAAGGGTTCTTTCTGCATGTTTGTTTGAAAATGGAGGTTCTACATTTACTCTGGACCCTGAATGTGTCAGTTGAGAAGGTCTAAGGTCCATTTAGCAGCAGTTGTGGAGCTTTTGTTCATATCACATAATCCTGAGTGGCAAATGAACCTCAACATTTGACAAAATGGAAAATAAAGCGCAGCAACTTCCCACCACCCTAAACCTTCCATGTTATGCTATCTGTGGGTCATGCTTCATAGTAATGAGTATTCATAGAACTTCTGATTTTACCCAATAAACAGGTAAACGAGTAATTGAGTATGTGTACATAAGTTTAATCTTAATTCATGGCAATTTATTGGTTATTTCAAATCTAGATGTTTTTGAATCTAATAGTAGCCTATCATTTTGATGTACGGTAGGCCTGCACACTTTTACTTGCTTCATAGTAGCTCCTGAGGATGTTTTACACTTCTGTTGTCACATGCTGAGAGGTGCAAATTGACCTTGCATATCACTGTCCAGGGTGTAGATTTTCACTACACACTTTGAGCGCGTCACTTGAGCGTGTACAAACGGACATGCATGGCATATGTAGAGGGAAACTACAACATGACATCTCAAAAAGGCTTAAACAGCTGCTCAAGGCCATATTCTCAACAGAGGTATTCAAACAACCGATAAGCGCAGACGCAACATCATGCCGCTGCAGCTGAGGTTAGGAAGTAGATGCATATTTGTTTAGCCCCCTCTGACCTTTGACGTTCCTTCTGCCCTGCAAAATTTAACACGTAAGTTTTAAATGACTACATCAACAACAATTTTGACGATCAATGTAATTTTCATTCAATCAAAAGCAAAAAAAATACCAAGAAAGATTTACTTGCTTCTTTAATTTAAATACTTTCTGTTGTCTTTGTTTTCTATTATGGTGGATTAAATAAATACAGGGTTTGTTTTTGGTTAAACAAAACAAGATATTTAATGACACAATTAGTTTTGGGGAAGTAGGATTTCCACCCGTTGCTGATATACAACCAATTGCAAATTTGGTAATAAGGCCATATTTATTTATTTTTAATTTGTAGATATGATGAATACATTTCTTGTTTGAATTGTTGACTATCATACATGATAATGGAAAAGCCTCCTTCCCTGGCACCTTTATATTACTTCAAATTTAAGTATATTCTTCTGTGTCTTGGTTCTTGTCTCTGCGTAAAAGTTTACGAGCCCCAATCATTTACGTTTCCTCTCAAGACTTGTTTATTAATACACACCCGCACACTGCACAGTTGCCAAGGCACTGAACAATCCCCCACTGCCAAATTTGGTGACCCCCCGTTCCATAGTCCTGGTGCAGAGGGTACGCAAGAGCGTTATGCAGACCTGCAGTGGCAGCCGTCCAACACGCACGCATACAGTCGGTACATTGTGGCTTGTTCTCCCTCCCCAGTCAGCCCACAGTGCCAGCTGCAGCCCGCTGCCCACCAGCCCGTGCCAGCTTGATGCCCCATCAGGGCCGTGCTTGGTTTACGACCGGGTATGTGCGTGTTTAAAGGGGATGGAGGGCTTAGCCTAAAATCCTGTCCCCCAGCTGCTTCCACTATCAGATGGTACCAAAGACCCACATCAACAGATGTACAGAGCAGCGACGTGGAACAGGAGCGCCAACAACAACTCACCCGCTCACAGTCAGTCAGTGTACCACAGTCTGCGGGTGCACGAGAGAGACCCTACGACCTTCTCTGCCTAAAGACACAACAAATGACACAGCCACCTCCTCCACGTTGAGGGGCTTTTGAGCAGCGTATCATGAGATGCCCTCGGCTGTAAGGAGCCGCTTTTGGAATCCGGTGTCCATTTACTGATGCAGTCTGGGATCAGGGTGGTGGTGGTGGTGTGGTTGGTGGGGGATACTGATCTCGCAGGCACCTTGGCATCACACATCTACCTTGTATCGAGCTACGGTAATAAACAAGGTGTTGTTTGCAGGAGGGATTCAAACAAACACATTTGGATATCCAAGGAGTCAACGTTCCTTTAAGGTATCAAATGATGCTTAGACAACACAATCAATCACATATTTATATATGGGTTGAGCAATACCACGTCCGTTCCTCTCCCTCCGTGCGACTCAGCCACTTCCACAAAGCTGTGTAAGTCGATCTGGCCTTTCCGACAAGGGAAGGCCCTATTAAGAGCCAACCAGGGGCGCCCATGGGAGCCAGGAGGGAAAGTGTCCCACCCCCCCACCACCACCCGGGTCAGCGTCATAACATTACTCATGAAACATTCACAACTCTATGTGGCCGGGAGGCTCCAATTGGCAGAGACCCGATCGCCCCATAACAGGAGATGAGGTCCTATTGGTGTGGTGGAAGAGAGACTGGAGAGGGACGGCAGGCAGGCGAGGTTATTTAATCGATCGATCCAGGCTGTCCGCAGCCCGCAGTCAAGGGCAACGGACTACAGAGTTTAGGAAGACGGTTATTCTTCTCCGAGTGGCAACAGTTAGAAGTTGTGTTTTGATGTATAAATATGTTTAACTAAGGTATTGCCCAGGTTTAATTAAAATAGCAGTTTGGAATCGTTCTGCCCGCACAATAGCAGTATGGAGATGAATGCGGGTTGGAAACATTTCATTAGAAAAGGTAGATGCCAGCGTCACATTTGTATGGCTTCTGTCCTGCTGGTGAAGATGAACCACTGCCTCAGTCTCAAGCCTTTCGCAGACGGCATCATTTCGGTTTCCACCTCACAGCGTTTTGCATTAAGGCCCAAAAGTTTGGTCTCATCGTACCAGAGCACGTTTGCTGTGTCTCCCACATGGCTTGTGGCAAACTCCAAACAGGATTTCTTAGGGTTTACTTCCAACGGCAGCGTTTTCTTGGCACTTTTCCATAAAGGTCAGATTGACCTGTAGACAGATTCCCACCTCAGCTGTAGATCTTCGCAGCTCTTCCAGAGTTACGATGGGCCTCTCGGTTGCTTCGGATTCATTTATCCCACGTCCGGCTTGTCAGTTTGGGTGGACGATCTTCTCTTTAGGTAGGTTTGTTTTTTGTCATATTCTTTCAATGTTTTTGATGGTGGATTTTAACGGTGCTCCGTGAAATGTTTCATAAGCTACCCTGCGTGCATACTTGGCTACAACTTTATCCCTCAGCTGCTTGGTCTTCATAAATTTGAGAATAATTTTTAAATCCATGTAAACCTTCCAAATGGTTTATTTTGTGTCCATTGAATAACATTCCAATGAAATACTTATGTGAGGTACTGTAGCTTTTTAGCTTGCTAAATAACTGCCGCTAATTTGGTTTTCAACTTTTCAACTACTTTCCTGTGGTTTTGAATCTGACATGTGGTGAACGGTGTAGGTTTATCTGAGCCAAAGAGATTTGTGAGAGCAGTGAAAGTGAATGCCAGTAAGTGTCGAGGGTCCTTTGTGAATTAACTTTCCTCTCAAGGTCGATATACATGGATGTCAACAGCACTCCCAACGTTGCGTACTTCAAACCAAATATTGCAAACGTGATCAACATGTGTCAAAACTGCTTTAATAAATAACTGGGATGATTTAGAACAATGAAACATCCACTGAAATAATGGAAACCTTTCTATAAAATTAACGTATGTCCCTTGAAGAATAAAATGTATACAATATGCATATTCAGCTTTTAACACCAGCAGTGATGCATCTTTAATTCTTTATTTTGCTGTGTCCCATTTACAGAAAATACGATGCCGGTTTGAGACAATGACATGATATGAAAAAAAATTGCTCGTTTTGAACGGAGTTGGTATCTTCCAAAAAAAAAAAAAAAAAAAGTGTAGCAAAGACATCTGCAGATATTGTTCCCTTCATTAAAGCCTTTAAACCAAACAAAGCCTATGAATGTCAACATTTGAACTACTGTCGTCCATATGACACGTCATGGTGGACTGATTTGTTTTTTTTAAGCCTCCAATAAAGTGTTTTATTCCAGCAATCTCCATGATAGCAAAGCAAGACAAGGAGAGCGGTTTACTCAGGCGAATAAAACACGCCACTATACACCACACAGTTTTAAAGAGTTACTTTCCTTGATAGCGAAAACAAACCAAGCGCATAAAAGATGACCATTGACTATTACAAATAATGCAATACTCATTACATAAAGGCACCTGAAACAAAAGGATTTGTGATGGGTTCAGAATATGGTTAGATAACTTTTTAGGGCTATAATTTTCTTAGATTTGACAACTCTGCCCACCAAAATCTACAGCTACATCTCATTTTTAACCAAATCCTGATTAAACAACCAAACAAGGAGTTAAAAATGATTAGGGATATAGTCTGGATCCAATATTGAAGTGGATGGCTGCTCTGCTTTCAAATGGCAGTAGATCAGGAGCAAGTTGCATTTTATGTCACACACCTAGTTGTGTTGTCCCAATGGGCGCTTCAATAGGCCTAGTGTGACATCACTGATGGAGGGGCGGCCATAAAATGTTGATATTAAAGAGCGGTGCAATTATCTGACCAATTGGTTTTACTTCCCCTTTCAACATGAGCATGTTAAAAATCAGTGTTGCAATCAAACTGAAATTCTAATTCATCCCCCTAATATTAATAAAGGTTCGCTCTATCGAAAAACATTGTGCAAAAGAATTGGGATTAATTTTTTATAATTCCTGCTGTCAAACTACTTTTGATCAAGATCAGTAGGTTAATATTGCCAGGCAGACAGAAGGCTAAAAGCAGATAGTGATGCTAGACCTTCTATAGCCAGGAAAATACGTTTTACCATTAACATTGTTATTGAAAGTGGGAATCCTCTGCCAGTATTTCATGGTAGGGGTACAGCGTTAAAGTTGAGAAGCTCCACTGATTTGTCCAACAAGTACTGCAGAAGGTCACTAATTCAACCTCATGACCAACCATTTATAAACCCTTCACAAATGCCTTCATGTGTGGTACCTTATTGTAAAGGTTCTTAACTTTGGAACTCTGGATATGAAGTGTTATAAAACGTGCCCATTTTGACAGGCATAAATAAAAGGAATGGCGTTGTAAAAAAAAAAATAAAAAAAATATTATTCACGATAATAACAATAATAATAATAATAATAAAAATGTGTGACTTGTCTTTAAGTTACTTATTTCAAATATACACAGCGACTCCTTTAGTATTTACACATATGTACAGAGTATTCATTTCTGTTTTGATCAAATACCTTGAATGGCGTTGCTGTGAAATTGAACTCTTTAGATGTACACTTCCCTTTGAGATTTTAGAACAAGGAGGTCAAACTGGGCAGCGCGACTTGGAGCCTCCGAACGGCCCTTTGAAAGGCACTTGCTACCAACTCAAATACTGCAAAAAAATTCTCAAACAGAGACAGGTGAAGAAAAAAAAAATAAAATAAAAAATGGAAGGCCACATAGTAGGCACTGGGGTTTCTGTCCCCTCTCCCCGCCAGGCCAAGTGTTTTGGTAAGGCTGGCGCATGACGGCCACAGGTGGATTGGGCAAAGCTGGAAAAAGACAAGGGGAGGGTTTCCTCTGCTGCCGTGGCTGCAACAGTGGTCCATGCCCCTCAACCCCCCCCCTCTCCCTTTAGACATTGAACAGGAGCCCACCGACAATTGGACAAAATCATAAACATCTGTAAACAAAAACAAAATCTTTATACAGTTTTTTTTTTTTCTCCTACTTTTCGATGATTCATCGTTTCCTAAATGGTACAATTATATTAAACAAAAATTGCAGGGAGCTTCTTCAGCCTCTTGAATAATTCAGCCCCTTCTGTACACTAAAGAAAAATAAGTGAACACTGAAGCAAAAAAGGATGTTCACTGGGCTCTAGCCTCCTGAATACAAAAGCTTTTCAGGTGACGGTGACAAAAACATGAAAACAAAGCAAAGAACGGCTTATTAAAACACAAAGCCACTTACTCTTCCCAAAAGTAGTCCAAAAATAAGAATAGTTGCTGCCGTGCAGCGTCTCTCGCTTTCCACATTGTGAGTCCTTTGTTATACACAATGGTCTCGGAGGCCATTTTTCCAGCGGTTGTCTTTGGGGCTGTAGCCTGGGGTCCGGTGGGGGTCTTTGAGGGGTGAACTGGAACTGTGCATGGTACAGATCACTTCCCCGCTGGACTGCACTGCAGTCTTGGAGTACTTATAAACTTGCTTTCCCGCCTCCGCTCCGCCGCACTCGTCCTCGAGCTCAAGCTCGCCTTCCGTCTCCTCCCCCTCGTCACACGTCCGATACGAGGGGCCCATGAGCTTTCTGCGCTCCTGCTCGGCGTCCCTGTTGCTTTCTTTGAGCAGCTGCTGCTGCTGCTGCTGTTGACGTCCCACGACGAGCCTGAGTGGCTGCCACTGGTTGTTCACGTTGTCGTCGGCAGCTGGCCGTGAGTTCCTCTCGCGCTCTTTTCTCCGTTTGCGTGTCCACCAAACACAGACGATAATGCAGAACAGGCAGAGCAAACAGAACAGCACACATAGCAGAGGCACCCGGTAATCTACTGACATCGAGAAAAAAGGAGAACAAGGAATAGAAATCAGTAGAGGTGGTGAGGATGCTACGGAGGAACCGAGCGAGGCCCAAAACAAAGCCCTGGTGGGACACCCTTGTTGATTATTACTCACCTACGGAGGGGGCCATGACCTGCGTTTCCACTTTGACCTCAACGACTGCCAGCATTATGGTACTGTTGTGTCGCTTGGACAAGGTACCGACTATGGCGCTGGCCGCCTGCTGGATCAGACTGTGGTCCGGTAGATCCTCCGGCTGGAAAGACTGACCACCACACGTACAACACACAAATTAAGGGGGCGGGGAAATGTCACAAAAACTATTCACAAGAGTTCAAGGGAAACTGGGAGAGGGATCAGAAATGGAATCAGACCCAGGATATTGCAGGAAGATCAACGTATCAATATGGTGCGTGTGTGTGTGTTCTAGGCTAAGAACAAGACAATGACGATTATTCACTTACAATAGCCACTTCTACAGCATCCTGGTTGGAATGAGAGAGGGCACACAAAAGCAGAAGGGCGTGGTCTTTTGCCAAGCTTCGGGTGTCAGGAAGATACCTCAGCTCATAGCAGATGTTCTGCACCGTTGTTCCCTGAACGCACACACAATCAGGAACAATACAAAAAAACCACAGCCTGAAAATGTGTTTGCAACTTCAACAGCAAACACTTCTATGAAAGGGGAACTCACTTGTGGAACTTTGTCTCGGTTGAAGACAAGTGTTATGCGGCCACAGCTGTTGTCCAAATGCCCGGTGTTTGGCTGGCACTTGGTGCTCGCTTCTGGAGAGGACGGTCCGGCCCTGGAACAAACCCCCCACTGTTGGCAAGGCGGGGAGAAACACGTCAGGTAGCGGTGCTCCAGGCACTCTTGTCCAGCTGGGCAGGTCTGCTGTTTCGGGTCCTGGGCGGAAGACGGAAGCACGCAGGAACGGCGACCACACAGCACCTGTCACAAAGAAATGGTTTATTTATACATGTGGTGTTGCCCTGCAGCTTCCTCATCATGGCAACCATGGCAAACGTAAACTGGTTTTGTCCAACAATTAGGTTTAAGAAGGTTACCTTTGTGCAGTCTGCTTTGCCATTGATGCAATGGCAGCTGTTGCACTCTTCCTCCCACTGGCTGCCATGGGGGAACTGCAGCCCTGCATAGTGGCAAGTCCTCCCAAAACCTATGACTACAGACAGACGGGTTATAGTTCTCTAGCAGGAAGGAGACATTGATGAGCGGCCGCGTCAACTACAGGACGAGAATAAAGATGTACTTACATTCTTGGCATCGGGCTCCCGTTCTACCAAGTGGACAGATACAGCGAAAACCGTTGATCTCGTCCACACAAGTGGCACCGTAGGCACAAGGTGAAGACTGGCACTCGTTGATGTCTGAAGAGAAGTTGGATTTAAGTGTTAGACTAGTAAGCCTTTATTGTGAAGGCCCGATCTCGCCACACTAAAATTTGTACCATATCTTTGCAAAATCAAACCCTCATGAATTTATATCTACGTTCAGCTAGAATCACTATTCAGACAGACGTTTAAAGGTCACTCTCAAACGTGGCTAAAAGCCGACCAATATTTTGTGAGGACTGTATTTTCCTCGTATCACCAATGCTGTCAATCATCACATGACCCCTCAGATTCGGCTCGGGGTCCCTTGGGGGAAATAGCAGCCAGTCAAAATCAAAAACCTCCAGTTTGGGCTAAATTAATCAGAAAGCCATTTATTGGACAAAACAGAGCATTGCATGTTTAAAATCACCACATTTATTAAATTGTGCACAGGTTTGTCCACCGAGCCGTCACTAATCCGAGCGGTTCTTTGACCGCCGCATATCGATTGTTCCTTCCCGACAAACACACCAGTGAGAGCCCGGCCATTGTCATCCAGATTCCACATGAACACCGTCAGGATGAGAATTCTCAAACACAAGCCTGACAGAAAAGGTGAACTCTATCCGGCCGAAACAAAAGGAGCAGAGAAGAAGAATTTCAGGGTCACTGGGTAATTTGTCTTCTGTGTGTGTTTGACTGTGAGTATGAAGGAGGGACGACCCCTGACCTCGGAGGCCTTAGAGGACCAAGAAAAAGGGAGAGGGCGGCGTACCGGTCTTAAAGGTGTCAATGTGTCCATCACCTCCTTGTCACCCTTTTCCCTTTCGGTCCCGCCCTGCTGCACCTATCATCCATCCTCTTAATCACACTCTGCCTCCCTGGCAACGTTAGCTTCTTAGAACGAAGCATCTAGAATCAGGAAAAGCAACCTCGCAAAGCAATTCCATCACTCACTGATTCGGCAGTCTGGTCCAGCGAATCCCGGAGCGCACTCGCACCGAAACCAGTTGACTCCATCCACACAGATGCCGCCATTGTAACTGAGAGAGGAAAGAAATAGACGATTAGAGGAGGCCACACAAGAGCCACATCCTTTCCAGCTGTAACAAAGCACATCGTTTTTGTGCGTGTGTGTGTGTGTGTGTGTGCGCGCTGGTGGGAGGAGAAACAGGAGGATAGGGGGAGGGTGGGGGGGTCACAAGGCTCAATTCAACTCATCAATACAAGCCTCAACCTTTCAGATGCTAATTGGCGTGTCCAGTCCCTCCCCTGGTCTCCTCTCATCATGCTTCTCCCTTCCATCTCCTCTCAAAGCCCATGTCCCCTCCCTCAGGTCGCACGGGAAGAATGGACACAAACACCACCACCCCCCCCCCCCCGTGCATTCACCATGGGGTAGGTGGGACTCCTCCCCCCCCCCCTTCAGAGAACCTCTCTCCATCTCTCCCTGTCCTATTCAACATGTGACCCCCTCCCTCCTCTGAGAGATGCTCCTTTGAGGCTTGGTTTCAGGACAACTTCTCCTGATTTTAGTGGCCCTTCACCCCTCCAGCCTGCAGGGTCTGTGTGAAGCGTGGAGATGAGGGAGACAGGAATAAAAGGGAAGGGGGGGAGGTTTGGCTGCGGCAGGGAGCTGTACTTACCATGGATGAGGGCTGCAGTCGTTTATATCTGAAGAAAAGAAAAAAAACATTGTCACGATGTGCAGGCTTGAACCAATTACAGGTTCTCTTTTACTTGAAATAGTGTGACATTTAGAGCACTTTTATTTAGATTATGTTGGCGCTGGGCTTCAATGGCAGAATATTGTAGACCAGGATATATTCAATACGTTGCGTTGGTTACAAGATAAAATGACATACATTCACAGTGGGCACGAAACGGGATAATAACTACAGAATAGCCAAGAGCAGGCTGACTTATGTCAGTTACAGGCAGAGCACCATAGAGGGACTAACTTTGGCCACAGGTGGGGCCTTCCCAGCCCTCTTTGCAGATGCAGGTGAAGGTGTCGCCTCCTCCCACACAGGTTCCCCCGTTGGAACAAGGGCCGGAGGCACACGTGCTGTTCCTGGCTGTGGGAAGAGAGAAAGCCTCTGTCAGTGATCATCTTAAAAGTAGAAAACAGTGTAAACAATATACTTAGGCAATACATTGGGGTTTGCACAATAAAACTGATGTTCCCTGAATTCTGCACCTGGGGTCCAGAGTAAAAGTTGTTTGCTATATTTCGCAAAATCAAAAATGAGAACCTTGATTTTTTTGTGATTTGGAGGTGTTATTAAGAATGTGGCATTGAATCGAAAGTAGTTACACCGTAACAGTGCAGCAGTAGTACAGTGATTCTTGAATGAAATGTGTGACCCTTACGAATGTTTGACGTGTACTTATTCCTAAATACCTGAATTGATTTAACAGCCCAACATTCTTTGCAGTGTCCATGGAAACACCTTTTGTATCATTGTGAATGCGGTGTTAGAATCCAACAGGTTAAATTAGCCCCGTCCCAGACATCTGAAGCACAGCGCACATCTGTCGCTTGGCCTATTTGAACCAGACGCCACCCTGAGGCCTCACCTGTGTTGCACGTGTTGCCTCCCCAACCAGGTGGGCAGGCACAGCGGAAGGCGTCTCCGTGGTCGTAGCATGTGCCTCCGTTACTGCAGGTGGTTGCGTCACACTGACTCTCGCCTGGGCAGGAGTGAAGAGAAGCACACAGGTCACAAACCATCATTCTTATGACCCAACACACAAAGACCTGGAGGCCCCGTCGGAGTCGGGCAGCGAGCTACGGACGTAAACACACACGCTAACGCGGAGTCGGCGTAACTCACGGGAATGGCAGGTCTTGCCCTTCCAGCTGTCGGCACACTGGCAGTAGAAGTCGTTCACCAGGTCGACGCAGCGGCCGCCGTTCTTACACGGGTTGTGTCTGCACTCGTCCACATCTGGAGAAAAGGTGCACGCGGTTAGATCTTTCACCAGCTGTTATTTAACGCAAAAGACAATCGAAGGCGAGTGGGCCGAAGCGGTACCGTCACGCGGGCAGGTTTCTATAAAGAATAGCATCGAAAGTCTGCAAGAGCAGAATTTGGATGGGGAAGGACTCACTGAGGTCGCACAGTTGACCCTCCCAGCCATCGGGACAGAAGCACTGAAAGGAGTTCACTCCATCAATGCAGGTGCCTCCGTTCCCACAGCGGTTGTCGATGCAGTCGTTAATATCTGAAAAAGGTCACGGGGGGATGAAGGGATTTAACACTTTCAGCTGCACAATACTCACACTGCACTAACATTGAGTTTAAATCCTCCCTTGACCATTTTTTGAAGAACGTAGGCTCTAAAATGCATCATAAACCATCCATATTAAAACAGATAGAGGAGGAAGTTAATAAATAAAGAGTCTCTACGTACTTTCATGACAGTAGATGCCACTGAAACCCAGATCGCACATGCAGGTAAAGTTGCCCTCCGGCTGGCTGATGCAGCGTCCCTGTGGACCACAAACGTTGGACGAGATGTGCCGCACCCCAGCGGAGTCGTTGGTTGCCACGGCAATCGTGCAGCTGTCAATGACTGCAAGTTAAAAAGGATTTTCAAAGAAGGTTAAAATTCACAACTCGTCTCCCACGTAGTGGTTAAACCCCGTTTCCTCATTGCAGACGACTTCAAGCACCTTGACACGGAGCGGTTTGGCAGTTCTCCTTGAGCCGCTCACACGTCTTCCCCTCGAAGCCTTCGGGACATGCGCAGTAGAAGTCCTCGTCCATGCTGTAGCACTCGGCCTCGTTCTCACAAGGGTTTGGATCACAAGCATCTGAGGGGGTCCAGCCATTGATCTGAGGAAATAAACAGGAGACAAAGATATGCATTTACAATAGTCAGTAGAGGCATACAGAGAAACGAGAGGTTATTTTGGTTTAATGGACCTTTGATGAACTTCATTGTTCGGACTCAGTTTAGCCGCTTAGTGAGTCAGATCTGAAAACCAACATTACACTTCTCACCCACCAAACGACACTACTGGTGGGTTTGCATGTAAAGACAGCTGGTGTGTAGCTGGACATATTTAACTTTGACATTTCTTTTCACTAAGGTTCGTACATAAATGACAAATGTGTGTACATTAATTAAATACTTGAGAGAACACTTCAAGATTGAAATAACCACATGGTGAGGCCTAACGGTTAAAAAAATTAAATAAATAAAAGAAAATAAAAAAACTTTTTCTCCATAGAAAAGTAGTTTCAATTAATTTGAAATTCAATAACTTCCAACACACCCCTTTACAAATGCTTCCTTACAAATTACAGCTCTGTTAAAGCTCTCGGTTCCTCCATTGATTGATTATTAAAACAAGTTACAAGTGAATTAGCAACAGAGAGCTGATCAGGTCTGTGCAGGTGAGCGGCTTAGCTCGGCTCAAGCTACCGCTGCGGTTCAGAACAAATGGAAGGTAAGTGGACGACCAAGTAAGCCTCAAAAAGTTTCCTAAGCTCATCAAGGGCATCCACGCATTTTGCGTTTAATCTTGCAAGATTATTCGGAGACCTGAGCCACGCGGAGCGGGAAAGTAAGCGAGACGCTGAGCAGGCCCGAGAAGGACGGCCCATTATGAGGGAAAATATTGACGCTGGTCCGACATCACGCAGGGACGCGGTGAACATACATCATCCGTCGTACCACCGTGACGGAGGCCGCCGTGACATATTTTTTGCCATTTTCAACATGCAGCAATAACGGTTGGAGTGAAAATCACCCAGTTTCTGTAAACAGAAGCCTGCTGTGCATAAACTCCAGGTCGAAACCTTTTGCCATTTAAGGCGCTGAAAGAAGTCGGAGTAGGGCAACAGGGTGGGTTAAGTCAGCGGTCACACTGTTTATTTTACTCCGTGTCACGGCCAGATACACTTTTTCATGTGTGTGGTCAGGGACGCGTGTCTGAGGGCAACGGCATCAATAAATCTTCAGTGCATTAAGTCAACTGTTTGGACTGTTTCAGTGTAGCAGACAGGTCGGGAATTTGGATAGGCACATAATTTACGTGTTAAGCGTAAATAGATTCAGCGACAGAAGGGACCTTGGAATATGGCTTGTACCCTCAAAAGGCTGTTACTGGACTTTTACAGAGCTTGAATGTAAGGGTTGCTATGTTGTGATGTAAAATATGTAAATAAAAAGCTTTAAAAGACCCTAGTTTACTTGATCTGTATCAAGAGAGACTTGAGGTCAACTCGGAGCAGAAAGGTCAATGGGTCTGTGGTGGGAGTCGGCGCAAAGGAGGTACGAAAAAGCCAGAATTCCACAAGGGAGCAAACGGATGAACAAGCTTCCAGCGACTTGCTGGACTCATTTTCAAGAGATTCTTTGAAGACAACGACAACAGCTGCACTACTGCTAGTTAGAATACCAGGAGTTGGGGGGGGGGGGGGGGGGACATGTAGTTATTTTACACCACCAAAGAGGCATCGTCAATCATTTCCACCGGACAATTGTATCAAGACCGGACGATGTCAGAACGTTTTTTAACCCAAATGTCTAAAGATATGCTTGTGTATGCGCGGCAGACATACATTTACATTTCCGTGCTTTAAAAGAAATTAGTACTCTTTTTGGTTTGTCTAAATAAAAGATGTGTGAGAAACAAAAGGACTAAATCCATGTAGCATTGTTACATGATCAAGTAAATGTGGCTTTTTTTCCCTCAGCATTTCCTTATGGACTCAATTTGATCTTATTACTTCTGAAGACGTCATTTAGATCACAAATGCCCAAAACACTATTTCCTAATCAAACATCTGTGGACTAGACGCTACTCAGGGAAATATGATGCATAGCAGCGGCACTACTGGGAAGGGATCTACACCGTGCCATCGCAGGCTTGAGGGCTCTGTAGTAGGCAGGCAGAAATCCAGCGTCACCTCAATCAGAGAGGCTCATATTTATAGGAGAGATGCTAAAACAGGATTGGCTCCTGACCAGCAATGTCCTCCATTCAGGACCCAAGAGATGCAGTGAAGTGTCAGTTTCCTCACTGCTAACCTACATCAGCCTCAAACACACACCTCAAATATTAAAAAGGCTGCAGCAAGGACAGAAGGAGTTTGCAATGAAAAGCAGGCTTGGCTTATTCGGCTTGGAACATATTAAACAACTAGGACGATCTTGATTTGACGACGTATTTGCACTGCTTGTGTACATTTTAAAAAACAAATAATCTTTGCATTATTAGTATTACAACTGTCTTGTCACTAAGTCATTGTCACCAAGTTTATGGGTTGCTAGGAACATCATGGCACTCTTTATGGCCGTAGATGTCCACAGGGAGCATCCTCTGTTGCATCTCCATGTTCATCTCATACATAGAGTTGCTTGAGCAGGTATTTTCTTCATATCACTGTTGGTTCCTAAAATCGCACAACAGCAATATTGATTGAAGGTCAAATAGCTCCTCCAGTGAACACTGTGGATTTAGCATAACCAACTCCAAAGCTTTTCGGTATTTGTGGCAGCCCATGTGTCAGTGACTCAGTCCCAAGGCAATCAAAAAATAAAATAAAAAATCAAAAGCTACCAAATCTAAACCATCCATGATCCTTTCCAATGTGACTCACCTCACACAGCTGTCCGGCAAACTGTGGTGGGCATTGACACACGAAGCCATCCAGCACTGCGTGGCACTGGCCGGCATTCTGGCACGGGCTGCTGTCACACTTGTTCTTACGGATTTCACAGTGAGAGCCCACAAAGCCTGGAGGACACTGGCAGTGGTGACCCCTCTGGTCCTCCTAAAAGAAGAAACCAACGGCAACGACAAACATCTTTGGTGCACAAACTTCGTGGGCATCTCCGGGATATATTTGGTCGGCAGCGACTGGAACACAGTGATCCAAACGAAAACATTCATACCTTGCACGTTCCTCCATTCTGGCACTGACCGTGGCAGCCGTTGAGGTCTGAAGAAGAAGGCTTTATCAGACATTATGAAAAACATAAAATATGCATCACCTTATCCAAACCAAGTAGGATCTACAATGTGGGATGCGCACAGATCAGGTTAAAGTTTGGAAAAAGAAATGACTAGTGAAGCGAATAGAGAGCCAGGTGAACCTTGCATAGATTGGAACTGGGCATGCAGTGGATCCTCAGCAAGCAACTGTGCATGCGAGTTCAGTCACGATGATTCGTTTTGCCAGGACAAAAGAGGAGCGTGGTTACCACATGTGGGGAAGCAAGTGATGCTAAACTACACCCATTGTAGTGAGTCCAGGAAGTGAGCGGAGACGTTTGAAAACAGCGGAAATTTAGGTGACTTTTAAAAAAAATTAAATAAAAAAATAGGGAAGAAATACTGACTGATGTCACAGTTTTGTCCGGACCATCCACGAAAACAGTTGCAGTAATATCCTCCAATAAAATTTTTGCAAGCGAAAGCGTTCACGCAGGGCTTTCCTGCACACTCATTTGCATCTGTAAAGGCAGGAAGTACAAGGAGACCAAGTCCATCAATGGAAACACCAACCAAGAAGAGGATAAAGAGAAAGCAAAGAGACCAGAAACCCCAACTGGTTATTTGGTTAGTCATCTCAACCTTTGCTGAACCAAAACTTTATGGTATTGGTAATAAAAATAAAAAAAATAGATCACTGGACTAACCCTTAAACATGTTTTTAAAAGTTTGTTAAATAACAGAATAATTTAATGCATAGCTACTAGGAACGCAAATAAAATTTTGTTTAATTTATAAATAAGTCTATTAATTTGTGTTAGTTTGTGCCCATCGAAAACTCAAATTATAAGAAAACACACACACAAGTAGCACATTTTAGAAGCTGGAAGATTATTTTGTCTTTGAGACAAATTACAGAGCGTCCAGGTGTTTTAAAAGGTTACAGGTCACACACACACACACGTCTTCTCTCTGAAACCCTAAACTGTGCACGCACGCACACGCACCAGGTAAGATAGGAGGCCGATAGCTGCCTGTAAGCCGAGATCAGAGCTGGTAAAACGACACTCGACTCTTGGGATCTTTTTCCTACCTTCAGCGCCACCAAACACACGCACACCCCAACTTTGTTTACCGGCTGCAATCCATTTCCTGGATTCACGCCAGTCACGTCCGCTTGTTGCGACGGGAGCCAAAATAAAAAAGGACGAATGCCCCCGCCAGTGACAAACAAACAGCCGGATATAGACACACTAGTAGCTCATAATGTCATTGAGAAGAAAAAGAAAAAAAAGGCACAGGGCAGCTGCCAGCCCATCCAGGATATTGATAGCTTGTACTCCCGCAATGGACCTCATGTTGCTCGCGGCCAATTTGAATCCAAAAACATATCCAAGCACGACGCGTGTGCCTGGGAGGTCATTTCATTTGGTGGAGGAAACGGAAAGAAACAAGAAAGAAATGCCTGCAAAAACACGCCTTCTCTGGAGAAATGAAGAGTGTTTTGCCAAAGAGCTGAAATCCTCAACACGCAAAGTAGGCCTATCGTTTCTCAACCGCCTCTGGTGAAATAAAAAATATTTTCTGTGTAGATATATCTCACCTATCTGGCAGGTCTTTCCCTCCCACTGTGGAGGGCACACACACTCAAAGCCGTCCTCCAGGTCGATACACGTTCCACCCTTAGCACAGGGACCGGAGGCACACTCGTCCAGATCTGAGAAGAAACACAGATCTCTACTTTAGCTCGTTTTTTTTCCTTTTCTCATCACATTTGTTATGGAGTTGGACGATAAGCTTCATCGGGATGATGGGGAAGGGTATTAAAAAAGTGAGTTAGTGGATGAAAAAGAAGTCAGAGGGAAAGATGCCACTGTAAATCGGAGCATGGAAGCAGTGCTCACTGTCGGCACAGGTCGGCCCCTCCCATCCCGGCGGACACTGGCACTCGAACCCAGAGGGAACCTCGTGGCATCTGCCTCCGTTGGCGCAGGGGTTGGAAACACAGGCGTGATCAGCTGATGGAGGGAGGGAGGGAGGTGTGTTCAGAGAAGAAAACACCATTCTTTGTTCTTACAGAATCACATTTTGTTCTTTAGTCCTTTCCAGTAGCCTAAATCAGTGGTCCCCAACGACCGGGCCATGAAAAAAAGAAATATATATATATATTTCTTTTTAAAATGACCGGATTCATTCCCAATTTCATGTGCATATCCCTCGACACATTTACCAAGCGCGTTTGTTTTTTCCCCCCAGCGTGTACTTGCATTATTTTGCCACAACAAAATCATTTTAGTAATGGCATCAAATTTTAAGAAGACAACAGTAGTTATTGGGAGAGGCCTTTCATCGGCGGCACAGCAGGTCTTCTTACCTATCTGGCAGGTCTTGCCAGAGTATCCTGGAGGACAGGCGCAGTGGAACTCGTCCGGTTCCGTGTTCATGCAGGTTCCTCCGTTGACACAAGGCTGGTGGCGACCACAGTAATTCAGATCTGGGGGAAGACGCATTTAGACACACAAAGACTGTAATTTGGTGATCTCACACATTAGAAAGCAAAGTTCCTCCATCTATATATTCCTCTATCCTGCTTGAATTATCTGTTAAAAAAACAGTCCATCATTAGTAAAGATCCAGGGATCTTTACTAATAACTTGAGCACGTATCTAAGCATCAGCACACAGAGGTTTCTATCCAAAGTTCCCAGCAAGCAAGTCAGGATCCACCAGCCGTCAGTTTGGACCGTTGTGAAAAAGGTTGGGCGAATTGATTTTTTGCAGTTCTTATTCAGTATTAGAATGAATTGACTCCTATATGTCGCCTTTTCTTCCTAAAATGCTACATATAAACTCAACAAAACCCTCCACACTGTCCGGAGGCCAAAGGCCGGGTCACGCTAAAGGCTGGTGAATAAAAGAGCAGGGATCCGTCTCCACTGGAGCTCTTCTTAGGATGCGTTCATCCCCCAGAGAGTGCTCGCCGATGAAGGGATATGGGGGGGGGGATCGTGTGTCTCTGCCGCTGCTCGGATGCCACAGGCAGTAAAACTATACAGCCGCTGCTCTCCAGTCAGAGGATTCAGACCTCATGGGAAGTCACGTTAAAGTACAATAAAACTATCATTTCTCTGACATTTTGAGCCTTGAATACTTCTATCATTGTCTTCTCTGTATTTGTTGATCATTTCATTCTAGAATACATTTATACAGGATATATTTTCCTAGAGACACGTCACTATGGAGACCGCTTGTTTCCAACAAGTACAGAACGTACAGCATCTCGTGTGGGAGACGATGCAAGGGAACAAAACCTCTCCCGTACCTTTATCGCACAGCAGGCCGCCCCAGTTCCTCTCGCAGTTGCACTGCCACTTGCTGTTGCAGGTCCCGTGGACGCAGCCGGGGTAGAGCACACATTCGTCGCAGAACTGACCCTGCCAGCCGTAGTTACACCTGTCAGAGACACAGACGCATAAATCCTTCCTCTCGCCCCCTTAACTGCACTGAGGCTTCCCTGCTATACATTTGTTCATTTCTACGCAGCGTCTCTTAAATTGTCAGTCGCCAAAAAGGAGCTAGCGCAAAACATTTGACATTATGTGGTTTTATATTGTGAAAAAAGCAACTTTAGTAAATGGTTCCTTTTGAATAAACTTTAAATGAGGCATCAGCTCAAAATGTTCTTTACATATGTAAAAATGAAAATCCTTTACACTGAAGTAATTGTAAAGGACACAACACAGTTATCCTCTGTACATGTTGTCTAAGGGGAAAAAAAAAACCTTTGGAAAGGATGTTTAAAGGAGTTTTTTTTTTTTTTTTAAAAGGGACGCAGAGAGCCTCCCCGACGACAGTAGGGACACACCTCACACAGCTTCTGCTCTCGGGTCAACGGCTCGCACGGCCTCCGGGCCAACTGACCTTAGCTAAGGACACTCAAAGGCGGGAGGGGGGGGGGGGGGGTTAAGAATACTCCCAGCGGCTCCCGTGCTCGGGTAGACGGGCCACGACGCGGCAGGTTCACAGCGCACGGCTATTCCGAGGCTGCCGTGCCGTCGGGCCAGCTGTCTTGACAATTGACTGCTATTTCGGAGCCTCGTGCAGACGGCACCGCTGTCCACCCGAGAGACTCGCCACGCTTTGTCTTCTTCAGGTGGTTCGGAGCGTCGACAATGGACCTGTCAAAAGAGGCGTTCCGTGGGTTCGTTCTTGGCCACGCTTGTATCACGATTACTCATCGGGCCTTGAATGGTGTAGGCGTGATGCTTCCGCTTCAGTCGGATTCCAACATCTTGGCACTCTGACACGTCAAAGTTTGCAAAGCGCTTCGAGTGGTAAAAAAAAAAAAAATTGTGTTGCAGTGCTTACCCAAATGACACGGCTGGCCTCCGACAGATATGTCCGGACAAGCCTAATGTGTGCGCTTGAAAAGCCTCCATGCAGTAGCGTGACTGCAGGCGCGTACCAGCTTTTGTGTTTCTTAACAGCCCTCGGCAAACCCCATAAAACTGATGAAATGAGGGCAGTGAAAGGAGGATTTAAAACCCGCTTTCTGTGACCTGAGGCGTCATCAGATTCATGCCCCTGCAGGAACATTCTTTACTGCCGTTCCTCTTATTCATGACTTTTCCTGTTGACTGGAACTTGAAATGTTGGGAAGAATAAACTGTGGCCTTCGGCGGCCTTTTCTGCTAAACGGAACCAGGTCCCGAAAAAATGTGAAGGTTTCCGAAAAAACGGTCATCCCCCCCAGTTATTCCTCGGCTCCGAGCCAAACCCGCCTTCCTGATAATGGGAGTCGATGGATCTTCGGATCTGGCGGGTGGGGGGAGGGGGGTCTACAAATGACGACGGGACGTAGCGCATCCTGGAAACGTGGACCTGCGGGGGCCGTTCCACGTCACGTTATCTAACTGCCACTTCCACTTGGGAAATGGACACAGCGCCGTGGGTTGTTCATTTCCTTTCCTGCCCCCCCCCCCCCCTCAAGGAGCACCGCAATGCGGATGCGGAGGGGATATGACCATTCCCAGCACGTTTACCAGTGGTCAAATTCACAAACACCGACTATCTTACTTCCGCCAGAGAAGCGGATGAGATGCTTGGTATTCTGTGGAGGATTTCAGCGGGCTAAAAATACGAGGCAGGTATTGCCCTTTACTACTGAACAGAGGCGGCGATGCCCACCAGGGAAGAAAAAGGCAGACTCCGAAAAAACAACCACAGGCTATCACAAGATGACTCAAACCAAAAGGAAAAAACACGTTTTTATAAATTACAAAACTGCATGTATGATATATGACCAATATAACACTGGTGAATCAAAGATACTGATGATAAAATGAGGATATATATAGTATAGTTGCACGAGACAGACGAGCTGGTCTTACTTGCATTCCCCCGGGACAGAGCAGTTGCCATGTAACAGGTTGCAGCCTTGCTTGCAGATCGCTGAGAAAAACCAAGAAGATGGAGAGAAATCATTTAAAAAGGTGGCAATTAATTCCATTGGGAGACATGAACAATTACGTGTAAAGCGTGAAAACGCACAAAAGGGCCACAGAGGGGGGAGATAAGAAGGGAGCCAACGATACGGAAAGGAGGGAGGAGGAGAAGCTCATTTGTTTGCTATCTTTCTAACGAGACGTGGTAATTCATGGCGCCCCGTCCAGGGTTAGAAGGGGGGAGGAGGGGGGGGGATAGACAACTTTATAGCCTTCATGTAAAACACAACCCCCTCTTAAACACAACACAGCCCCTCTCGTCTCATCACCCCACGTCTTCTAAAGGTCAGATTTATTGCGCCCCCCCCCCCCTCTCTGACACCACCCACAAGCACGACTCCAACGTTGCCACGTTTGAGCATAAGCAGGCAGCGGACTGCCTCTCCCGCGTGGTTTTTAAAAGGGTACTCGGAAATTTACTTAGGATTCATTTAAATGGAGGTTTCCAATGAGTAGAGGAAATCCCATGACGTGTTTACGTATTTAACACAACTTTGCATTGCAATAGAGGAATGACTTTACACCGTAGAGTTAAAGAATAGACAACTAACCTTGGTGTTAATTCATTAATTAAATGTTCTACTTTTTCTTTAAACTGCCACATTTCAAAATCATTAATATGTATATATAAGTGGCTAGTTAAATCCCCAAACTATAGTAGCCTAATGCATCTTTGTTAATGGAAAGAAACGCCAACAAGTGACTATCGTCATTATCTATTAATTAACCTCTAAAAAGAGACGGTCTCGATCGTTCTCAGCTCACCTTTCCTGCAGTCGGAGCCCATCCAGCCATCCAGGCACACGCGGGCCCCGGATGGCTCGCAGCGATAGTGGCCAAAGTAGTCGTCCCGAGGAACGCACAGCTTATTGCACTTGTTGCTGTAGTAGTTGTCGTTGCAGCGGACTCGGATGCGGTACACGAGGCGAGCCACCGGCCCGTCGTGCAGGATGGTCTGCCATTGGTCGCCCGGGTTGATCATACCAGTGTGGATGCTGCGTTCGATCAGCAGCTCGTCCCCAACTGAAACAAATCAAGATAAAATCGTTTGCAGAAGACTCCCACTACCTGTACAATACAATCTAATAGTTCCTTTGAAATGTATGTTTAACACTTATTTTTTTGCTTTCGTGATCCAAACGGTGCCTTTTACGATCATTTTCACCAATCTTCCAAAGGAAAGAGTGTTTTCTTCTGCAAGTACTGGAGGTTTAAATTAGCAACTGTTTACCTTGACCTTTTTTTAACTATTTCACAAGTTTCCAACTTATTTCTGCTCCTTGCAGGTGGCATGCCTAAAAGTTTGCTTGGGATTAATTTACTAAATAATATCAGAATTTGAATTGGTGCATTAGCTCAAAATAGTTTCTCCATCTTTCCACAAAATGTTCAATAAAAACTAAATCAAAAAGGCCACCAGCAGCCACTGCATCTCGTAAAAATGTGTGATTTGGAAAACAACGTATCTGCGTAGCTCTGATGTAACGCCACTCCGCCACAGCAAAAGCGCTGCATTCTTACCGAGCAGACGCTTTGATTATCACGTTGTGTGCGCGCGTGTGGAAAGTACCCACTGAATTTTAAGTACGCAATTGAAATTCATTGTCTGCAAATTGATCCATTTTCTGCTGGTAGCACACATCGACGGCGTCTGTATGTGCACAGTCATGTCGAGAGGACGCTACCATTTAGCCTGTAGCACGCCAACGCTCACATCGGATTCAGTTTGCCTCCGCGGGGGCTCGCTGCAGCGAGACAAAGCAATCTTTATCGCAGTGAAATCGAAGCGAGCAAACAATCTGTGTGAAAATAAGGGGTCTGCTGAGATTTCCGCTTTCTCCCCGGCTTTGGGCTGCAATGCACATTTTGAAGAGAGCGAGCAGGGACACACACACACACACACACACACACACACACACAATCCTATGCTGGAGGACTGACACAATGTCAGACAGAATTAGGCAACAATAACAGAAATAACCCCGGTAGTTGCCAGATGGAGAACAATGGGCTCCGGGCCCAAACCGGGCTCTGCTGCATCGGTGTCTAAACACTGAGCCCGGCCGTCCAGGCCACTCCGCTTCCTGCTCGATAAACACAAGGAAAAACAGCCGGCTGCCTTTCCTGAGAACACAAGGGGGGAGAGGAAGAGAGGCACACGGGAGGACGTGACGCCGGAGAGAGGAATCTCACTGACGGACTGACGCACTGCTGGACGCGAGACGTCGGGGCGGGTGATGACTCAGGCCGAAAAACAAGTTTCAATGTCTTCCTATTCCCACATCTACCTTGGGACGACGTGCACAATAACTAACCATTCCACCCTAGCGAGGGGGGACTCCAGGCCGCCGCACTGCCAGGGAGTTAACCAACGAGCACGTCAGGCGCGTTGCATAACGATTAATACCCGGTCTGTGCATGTTGATCGTTTGTCCGCTCGGCAGCGTGAAGCGTGACAACACACAGCTTTGCAGTGAACAGCGATGGCGAAAAACCTACAGCCTTCGCCTCAAAGTATTTCAGCTTTTCGATATTCAAGCGGCGGCGGCGTCGTCGTCGTCTGAAACGGCTCATCGCTGCTCGACACACGTTGAGCGACAAAAGCAAAACAATTTGATATTCTATCAAGTCGGTTAGTTGCCGTTTAAGTGTTTCCCCGAGTGCTCGCGGACGTCGTCATGCAGTTATTTAAAAATAAAAAAAGATCTAATCTCATTCTGGAAAGTGCGATGTGGTGTCATGGCCGTCACATGGCGACGATTGTCAAGCGGGAGTTTGGGTCTCTGTCATGAGCTTCCATGGAAACGGACGGTTGCGGCGTCAAGCGTAGTCTCACTCATCAATATTAAACGTGTCCAAGAGGCAGAACCGTGCTGTTGTGGACACCTGCCACGTGTGGAGCGGACCGGCAGATTTACGATTACATCCATATATTTAGACGTTTCAATCTACGAGCGGACTCCCCCGCGCGTCAAACGAAGATTTGTTTTTCCCTTGTCATCCTTCCATGACGTACATTACGTTTGACGCCAGGTGACGTCTGCACAGAAGGCTCGGGGCAGCTTTCAAAACAGCAAGTGATTCAACAAAAAGGTTTAAATCACATTTATTTTATACTTTGAGAAGAGAGCGCGGAACACGTTGTGTTCTGGCTGAGACTTAAGTGCCAGTAGCTGGCAGAGAACCAATTGGACCGTTTCTTAAAAGGACATTTAAGCTTCATCAGAAGTCATTACTTTAAATGTACACAATTACTGGAGGCCCACAGGCGGGAGCGACACCGGGCACGCAGCAGCCTAATCAAAGCGCTGTGATGTCAACAGCTATTTCTCCCCCATTGTCTGCATCCACCAGTGGAAGTGCGTTTGATGTCATGGACAAAACAGGATGTAATGACCTCGTATAAATAAGCAGCCAGTTTGGTGCCGGAGAGGACGGTGTGCTCCTGGATATAAAACGGCTTCGCATACACGCTCAAATGCACAGAGAGGCATATAGAGACTGATGAAAAATGCCCCCATCAGACCAAAGCTACCTCAACAAATCCAGACACACCGTCCTCAATGGGTCCTTTCCCGCCCAGACGGGACAGAGGCGTCATACAGGAGTCCACCCAGGGACACAACCGAAGGGAAACAGGATACAGCTGGTCAGACCGCGGAGAAAAACCAAGATGGGAATTCTATATGAAGGGTTTCTGTGTACAGTAAAAAACACGTTTTCATCCTGTAAACCTATCGTGTTGAAAATGATTGACTTGAAAGTCATTGACGACCACGATGGAGTTTGACTTTCCTTCCATCTCTTCTAATAATGATGTTAATTCTTCTGCAGATACAGAATGGAGGATTCATTATTTTATAGGGCAGAAAAAGGGACATCTATCAGATCTCTCCAGTGATCAAGATGACGTACTTACATTTTTCATGTTAAAGAAAAACATTCGGTAAACAAGCACATTTTTACACTGTAGAAGCAGTAATTCGTACATTTTTGAGGGAGGACTTCTGCTTAAAAATGAAATGAAAAGCTCAGATCAAAATTAGCAGATGATTTATCTGTTGAATGACTTATTATTTTGCTTAATATTGACAATAAGGAATGCCCACTAAAGGACATTGTAGACATCTTACTAAAAATCCTTTAAAAATCGGCAGAATAGGTTAATAAGGACACACAGAGCTGTGGGAGGTTTAGACTTACTGTTGCGTGTGGTGTTGTCCCAGTCCCGAGCCTCTACAATCAACGTGTACATCCGCTAGGAAGAAAAAAAAATAATAAGGATTAGGTGATATCTGGACAAAATCATTCCTCTCCATGTCCACAACAAAAGGAGTTTGCTTCTTCATGTGCAGGTTATTGAGCAACCACAATGGTGTCCTTTGGAGTAACAATGTCTGAAGCTGCCCATAAAACAAATGCATGGTAGGAATATTAAGTTACAAAATGTATACACACTAATAGTAACTAAGTCCCGTTTTCTTTTCAAGCAGTATTGCTAACGTCTCAGTTCAGTGTACATGATGCCTCATCCAATGCCCACTCAAAAAAGGAACATTTAACAATTTAACTTAAGGAGGGGCAAACTTTACCAGTGTATCAGTTTAGTCAGAGTCACGCTACAAAAAGATGATGCAAAAAAAGAAAAGAAAATTGGATCGATCGCATCGCTACTACAGAGAGTCTTGAAGCCGCGTTGCTCTGAGGTGCGCTCGAGTTACACTGCCAACGAAACCACGATCCACAGAGAACACGGCAGGATACGGAAAGAACGACGGAGGGACGAAGCCAAGAGAGAAGCTGCAGGACTGAGATGTTCTACAGACTTCTGGCTCAGGACGCAATGCGGCAGAACGAGTCTGAAGCCTCGACAGCAGACGCCACGCCATTGAGACGGAGTTAATAACAACAACCAAATATTTACCAAGAGTCTATTTTTCAGATCGTACGAAATCAAATGGGTGCAAAGAATTCAAAGTAATAATGGGACAGGCGTACAGGCCTGTACGCAGAATATGAAACTAGAGCCAGGAGGCAAATAGTTATCTTGAGAGGGATCTTCAGACGGGAAAAAAGGAAGCCGCTGGCTCAGCTGCTCCGAGAGCACCTTTGCATTATAAAAGTGTGAATTGTTTTGTGGGGAAATTCTCCAGACGAGGTCTTCTGATTACACACCTATGAAGAGTTTCTCTGTTAAGCTTAAATCAGTTTCCTCTTCCACAATCCAAGTAAAAAAAAACTAAAGAGTGGCTGTTAAATGGTTAGCGATCTGAAAGCCTCAGCAGGTAGGAGGTCTGTTACAAAGGTCACTTTGCCAATATTAGCTGTGTGAGATGAACTCTGCCGGTCTTTGTCCTTGGTGGTCAGACGGCAGGATAAATCAGCAGCTAAGGGGATTATCAGTAAAACAGTTAACCAGTACAACAGGAGCGGCTCACTCATGAATGTGTTTTACCATGTGAGGAAATTAGTTAAAAATGATAATCCATTCATGTTTGAGGCCTTTGTGAATTGCTGCTATGTTTCTGTTTTTCTATAACCCTTAATTGGAAGATTTAGTTTCAGGATGTTGCTTGTAGACTCACCTTGAGCTCTGGTAAAAAAGGGATGGCTATGATTTATTACTTTCTAACTCAATGTGCACTCATTGAATAAAAGAAACTGATAAACCGATAACAGGAAAATTCATTAGTTGTGGCTCCACTTGCCAATGCAAACATCGACAATAAAAGCTATTCGAAAAAATATTGCAATACAACTATGAACAACCATGTCATTTAAATATTATAATATTAATGCAAACTACATAAGGAATATATTTTAATTGAAGATTCATGATGTTAGCATGTTTTTGAGGACAATCTCCCCAACAGTCAAATTGCTTTCAATGATGTTGCAAAAACCTAAGCTCACACAATAAACATTAACACACACACACACACACACACGCGTGCACGCTAGAGTAATCTAGCCAGTGTGCTGCTGCAGGGCACACTGCTAGGCAACCAGCTGACCTAAATAACACTCATTACGTCACTACCAGTGACAGTTGTAGTAGCCACAGCGTGACTGCTGTGACCTCTACTGTACTGTCATTGATAGGACGTCGGCCTGGGGTTATGAAACACACAAAAGAGCACATAAGGCACAGTAATTGAGAGACTTCAATGCCCGAGTGAAGCAGGAAAGAGAAATCCCAGGGAGGGGGATTGCAATGTGTGTGTGTGTGTGTGTCTGTTGTTGATCAGGGGGACCAACAAGCTGGTAGGCTGGTTGCTGCTGGGCTGCGGGATTAAGTAGGCTTGTCTGGCTGTGGGTGGTGGCGGGAGGAAGGGGAGGGGCCTGTTATTGTGGAAGACCACGGGTGACAAGAGAAGGGGATAGAAGATGGCAGGCGAGGAGTGAGCCAAAAGGGGCTTGGGACCACAGTTTTGACATAGATGTGCAGCTGACTGTGGCTGCGGTGAATACGTGAGGCCAAAACCAGACTGGGTTCGGGAAAATGGGTGAGAAGGGGTATGGAAGAGAATAGTGAGTCTCGGGGCTTTGGCGAAGGGCGGCGTTTGCGGAAGCTCTGCCAACCCGACCGGCCGCAGACGCACAACAGATGCAGACTCAAAAGGTGGATTATTTGACATAAACGTGGATCATCCCACGACACGTAGTCCGGCTTCTGACCTTTCCAGCCATTCCCCTCGCTCCTCCTACCACAAAAGGGTGGGCTAGCTGCCCCAGTCTGAGCTTGTGTGCATATGCCAATGCATTCAAGAGGAACTGAGTGGCAATGAATGAATTAGTGGGTGGTGGCGCCGTGTATCGTCAGACTAGGAGTCACAATCAAAAGATCAGAGAAAAAACAGGTGACCATAACGGGACCTCCACCTTTTGGTTTTGCCGAAAAGCCAGTCGCGCTTGAACGCCTCCATGTGATTATTTGGGTAAATAGTTCCCAGAGTCGGCGCGCGTTGGGGTCGAGCAAAGCTCCGGTCTGGTTTCCCACAGACCTTCCCACTCTGTGATTAGCTGGATTAAGTGACAGCTGCCCAAATGGTTCCAACAAGATAGATGGATGGGCAGGGGGATAAAGGGGAGGTGTGGGGGAGGGGAGGGGGGAGGCTACTGAACAAAGACCCTTGTCCCAACATCATAACTCACCCCCATCGCAATCAAAACCATTGTCCACGAAGGGACAAAGTCAGTGCGAGGACAATTAGTGTCAGCATGTGTGCTGCTGAGCCCGGGCGGGACAGTTACATGGGCAGAGAGAAAAATTCAATGTAGAGTGGTTTTTAACCACAGGAAATATCCTAATTAAAAGGAACATTTTCTTAATACAAAATGATGCATCAGCCACATCAGACACTGCCGCAGGAGGAAAAAACATCTGCAATGTCCTTTCAGAATTTTTGTAGTGCACCGCTTAAGACGGACCTATATTCTTCACTCCATTTCTACCTCCAGGCATGTTTCCCGAAGCTTATTGGGTCCAAAACTATAAATGTCATTCAAACATTTTCGGGAAAGTTCATATGCAACGAAAGCCCATTACGTGTGGTTGTCAGTAGCATCTTGTCCTTTGTAGCAACTTTGTTGAGTGTTTCATTGAATTCAGCCTTCTGGCCTTCCTTCAGGGACTTGTGCTTACATCTTAGAAGTTGGTTTTTCAGCCGTGAACTCTGAAAATCTTGGCTTTAAGATTTTCTGAAGCCTTTATGGCTATTAAATATTCTGTTAACAAATGTATTCAACACTGTGCAGACCAGGGCCCCTCAATGTTTCGTAACAAGCATCCAGATCCCTTCGGCTGTTTTAATACATCCCAACTGCTCAATAATAAGTCCAGCTCTATGCAAATAGGCAAAGTAAATTAAAAAAAAACTGATTTTACTTATTGCATGAGTCTTAATCTTACAATTTTAAGATTTTCTGTGGTGGATGTATTAAACTGTAATTTTAACACAAAATGCACACATCAGCTACATCAGAGACTGGGAAATACTTGAGACAAAGAATCAAATCTTCAAAACCCAACCCTTCCCCTAATGGATTAAAGGATTTACGCCGAGAAGTCCTAGTTGAAGTTAAGCGGGAGTGCATAGTTGAAAATAACCGATGGTTATGTGTCAGTGAATCAGTGTTTTCTTAAAATGATGCAACAGTCCCATCTGTGAATCGCATACCACCAACTTTGCAAATTCACTGAAATGAGTTATTCCAGTCATCACAAAAGGCCATTTGGGTGAGGACAGAGGATGTGGGGGTGATGTCTGGGGAGAGCCACAGGTGTAGGTTCCCACGCCAGACGAGGGGTGCATGAGCGAGAGGAAGGTGGCCTGTGGAATAAAAAGAGTGGAGGGCGAACAGAAAGAGGTGTTAGTGGGAAGTGGAAGCCGGGGCAGGTTGGGGTCACTAAGCATGGGATCTGCACGCTTCTTTTTCAAAAGAGGGGTCAGCCCTCTGCATGTGGGGTGATGAGCGCGTTTGCATTCGAAGAATACCAAGAATGTGAGATCCAGGCCTGGTGTGTAATCCCGTGGGAGATCCCAGTCGGCCAACAATGCTGTATCAATGGAGGGATGAGTCTGCATTGTGGATCTGACGTTTGATTGACTCTTGGGGAAAGTAAGGACCTGGAATGTTGATTGAGCTCTTAGAATTACTACCAGGAGCTGTATTTAAAAAATACCCATTACGCTTAACTAGGAAATTCATATATGTGTATAACCTATCAAGACCCTTTAATCCTGAGCCGTTTCCATTTCCCAGGTCATTGATAAGAGGCCCAAATGGCCACCTCCCTGTTCCCCACTCCTCCACAGGAGAGCCCCACTGACATCTCCTGATATATTGCCTTCTGATGGGACATGAAGTCGTCACTATTCATCCCACGGCCAGTAATCGCCGCATGTAATCTTCATTAATCTGTGATGTCAATCCCAGTTTTTGGTTTTTCACGGGCCGTTCCAGCCGAGGCAATCGAGCCACGGGATCTCTGCTGATTTGGAAGGGTCAGTATGGCCACAACAGCATGGTGTGCAACTTGGACGCTCTACGGACACCGATCTTTAGAATTACCTTAGAACATCTGGATGAACACCAGCAGCACTCTTAATGGGCAGCGACGGATATTTGCCGGGACCAATCAAGTGTTGAATGTTCAGTCGCAACCTTCAGTCTAATTGGCTCTTTGCTATCATCAACTCTCAATGTTTGTGATCAATTGATTGGACACACACAGGATTAATGTCAGAGACACTA